AACTACTGGCTTGAATGCTGTTGTGGGGGAACTGGGGGTATTTTGATTTGAAGGGTTTTTAAAGCAATTAACATAGCGAACTATTAGGAGGCGTAGAAGGTCGACTGGGTGTGCAAAGAATCGATACGATGCGAGAAATGTTTTTATATACTCTGAATCAACATCACCCAGTGGAGAAGCAAGCCAATGAACCATAACTCGAAGAGAAGCTGCCTTTAGCCCACCAGGTCCAGGTTGCATAGTACTTCCCTTCAACTCATAGGAGCCATTCAGGGAGTAAACTGGCATAACTGGTGCGGAAGCAGGTAATGGCTCATGGCTACAATTGTTAATTGCTTGTTGATGAGATGTAGATATTTTTTCTGAGGACCTGAAACTGAATCTGCGACTTTGTGTGCCTGGAGGAGCACTAGACGGATACTTTGAATCATCTCTAGACTCGGTGTCTGCTAGACCAGCAGTGCTCCCCTTTCTCTCGTGGTTAGCACCACTAGTGTTGTTATAAGAATAAGCAACTTCGTTGGATATATCATCAGTGTCCGATGGCCATGGAGTCCCAGGATCATCCTCTGAGTATGCGTCTCCCAGCGGAGTGCCAGATGAGGTTGAGGCAGTAGCATTAGAAGGGCTGTTTGCGTTTTCTAGTTTATGATTTGGTGCAGTTGAGTAACGACGCTGGTGTGTGGTAAAGCGATTTATGACTTTCAAGGTGAATTCATCCATGGGCTTTACGTTTAGCATGTCAACAAGGGCTGGACTTAACATAGACACGACCTCTCCACCCCGAGATTTGCTGATTTGGAATGATTCAAGACGACGAATACCGCCATGCGGGCCTTGCTGCAGCAGCATCGACATGCACCTAGAATGTTTCCTTACTGGGGTTGATGGCAACGATGAGCCACCAGCTCTGGCACCACGAACTTTACCAGACTGGCAACTTTTGTGATATTGTCTCTTATATAGATTATTTTCAGAGCGCGAGGTTGTTATAGGGGGCAGAGCAGTTGGGCTTGTGCCCTCGTTCTCATGCTTAGAACCTTTGTCCATATAATCAGAAAGGAGTAGAAGTGAAGTTGTTGAAGACCGCTTTGCTGATCTTGGCGATTTTTGTGTGTGGTGTTTATCATGATCTGACCCTTCTCTGATTTGCACATCAGATTGACATGATCCATCGTCCTGGTCCTCGTACTCTTCATCCTCTTCATTATCGTCGTTTTTCAAACTCAAGTGGGCTATCGGCTTGCACTTTATCTTCGTTGATGCTTTACTGGGAGGGCGCCGAGCAGGCCCTGGCCCTCCAACATGGGCATTAGCCCCTGTGCTAGACCTCCTTTCTCTATTAAAGAGATTATGCCCTGTTTCAGTGGAACTTGGTGACGAATTAACCCGCTCCTCGAAACTTTTCTTTGAGTAATGCATTCCAGAATCACGCTGAGATTGTGTACATTGATAATCTTCCTGGCTTCCATTAACCTCGCTATCTAAGCCATTATTAGAGCCTTGGGGCTTGTTTTTAACTATCACAGTTTCAGTTGATGATTTGCTCATAGTGAAGCTATTCGATGTCGGTGCACTTGGAAACACGCCACTGTCATGGCTCCAAGTATTATGCACGTTGGACTTGGTTGCTCTTAATGGTGGGGAGGCTGGCTCCCCATCCGATGAATTGTATATAAACTTGAAAAATGACCGAGACTTCTTTTTCTTCATTGTAGTTGCAGGAGCGTGGGCTGGCCTTGGATCATCCAGTAGGAAGCTATGCTCATCAGGATTGATAACAAGTGCTGGTCTATATCTGGCTTTTCTAGCCACAGGAAGGCCTTCGTCTTTTTCGGTGTGACAGTGATTCGTCGTATCTAAGTTGGTATGGCTACTTTGGCATTTTGCTTCAGTTACCCCCCTGTCAGAACCATGCCTTGTGGTGGGATCGGCATGCATATATGCTCTTGGTCTCCCGGATTGGTCTATATGAGGCTGTGATGGTCTATAGTATGTCGGGATGAAGCTAAAAGAATCAGAGGCTGCAGATCCGGTTTCATTCTCGCTTTCGTGGCCTTTATTGTCAATTGGCAAGTTGAAGCCACCTTGTGCAAGGTCAGTGCATGAATCCCAACCATTGTCAGGTTTACGAGAAAAATACTGTGATAGCTTTCCTGTAAGTTTTGAAGCAATATTTTTACGTGAATAAGAATCTTCGTTCGTGGTTGAATGGCTAGAATTAACTCTTTCTTCGTCGCCTGTGACAGTGGATATGGTTTCTTTTGTTGAAGTGCGATGAGATGGGATTGCTGAATGGATATAGTATGTGCTTTCTATGGAAACTGGGGTGACTTTGGTCTTGTCTCCGCCATTTTCGGCGGAACAGAAAGAAGACATGCTCTCTGAGGAGGGGTTACTAGTAGCACGGGAGGTAGGTGATTCTTGGGGCTCTCCCTCAAAGTTGTTGTCTATTGTAGCCGAATAGAGCCAGGGCGGAACATTGTCTCTCTCGCTTTTCCTTGGTGATAGGGGCTGATGGCTTCTTAACGGACTATGATTGGCCTTTACCTCCATCTTGTTGGCAGCTGGCAAAAGCTATACCTGAGTGTCGTTAAACTTGGAGTTATGAAAACTATAAGGTAAGATGCTAAGACAAAAGACCATGGTACATTAGCATAACGTCGTAGAGGTGAAATAAACGGCATATGGCTGAAGACATTGCTGCGTTTCTGTGTAACAGGACAGGGATTGTGGAGTGCACAGTGCCAGTTACATAGAGGAATCCCCAATGCCAGTTTGACCATCAAAACAAGTATGAAGATTGTGAGATATTGCAGTTTTAGGGTAGGAGCTGGAAAATAGCAGAGCCGTTTGGAAGACAATAGTAAGTCATACCTTTGCCTATAGCTGCTACTGGTGGCTCTTTGCAAGCAGGATTCAGCTGGCATAAGTAAGTGGAGTGCAAGGAGAACGGCTATATATATTATATATGTGACAATTACCAAATGAACAAATTCCGACAATAGTAATTTGTAGGCTCGTGCGGACTTATTTGCGTTTGTTTTAATACAGCGAGCAGAATAGGACAAGCTTGCCAATATAGTAGATATGGGGAGGGTGTTTATAGAGAGAGATAGAAAGAAAAAGGTTAGAGTAAACATGGGTTACTAGACACGGAAGCCATGAACACAACAGCAGCTTGTTTAGAATTTAGCAATAGCAGTAGCAGAAGCTGGAAGTAACAATGTTTTCTCTAGTGTTGATGCTACACAAGCAAGCGAGTAGGTTCAAAAATGGCTGACATACAAGGCCGATTTACGGAGAGTCCCCAAGACCACTACTGAAAGCCGTGCTAAGGTGGTTATGAATATTCCCTAAAGTGGAGCCCGACTCCTTGTCTATCAGCGCATTTATGCATGTAGTGATTGCACAAACAACACAGCTATAGATGCTTCCCAGGCACCAAAATCGGCTGCCACAGTGCAAGCCTCACTACCACGACCCACACTCCCCACCCTCTCTGTACAACTTGGCCACATTTATATGACATCCTCTCAAATTACCAGCGGAAGTCTTGTGCTACAGAATACACTATCCACACTGACGCGCGTGTTGGCCTTGGTATGTCGCTCCTTCTACTATAGCCTGACATTGTCGCCTGGATGCCATTCAGACAGTGCCTTGCTACACACATCCTACAATCCTTCCCATAGTATGACATATCTCCGTCATGCCCCGCCTGGGGACAGGATATGCCCCCACTCTCGGTCTGCACAGAACATCTTTACACTTACTATATGTGCGTCTTGGTATGTCTATCCTTCTAGATACAAGATGGAGCAGCATCTGTTTGGAGGAAAAACTACGCTGCAAGTTTGTTTATAGTATCGTCTACTTGCCTTATCCTTCCCACAAATTTGGAATTCGCATCTATTATTGAATTTGGTATGTTCGATGCCCCTACTTGATGTTGGCATCTAGACTATAGGTACTCTCGAGCTAATTGGCACAGAATCCTCTTCAAAATCACAATCCACGAAAATGTGATTCTATCTCAACTCGATTGCCTCAATACATCAACTCAAGCCACAAACACTGCATTATCATGCCCATTATATGCACAGTTGGATAAATCTTGGCTTTTCACGCTCTCACAAAAATTTCCCAGCATGGCTTAAAAGCCTCGTTTGCCCCTTAACCATTTAGACCACCAAACCATCATCAGACTGTGGGTCGCAGGAACTCCAAGATGCTAATGGCAAGCCTTTGCTTGACACTTTGCCAATATTTCAGACAAATCCCCCACATCAGAGAAATGCTCCCACTCAAGAACAAAAAGGGGTATTGGTAGATATCATTTAGTTCAATTATGACACCAGGCTACCATCGAAAATCCACACGGTTTAAATAGCCTTACCAATAATAGCCGTGCGACTCAAATTAGGGATGGTGCCAGGTTTCTACACAGATCGGAAATAGCACAAAACCCCCGTGAACACAGGTTCCCCCATAATTTTTCTATTTACGTTATTGGGGACCACCGTCCAGTATAAGTCTATGTTAACAGTAACCGAGCTCTATTGCACTCACAACCCCCTCAACAGTTTAGTCAGCTTTTAACCGAATAAAGTTATAATGGTACTGATAATAAAAGTTAAAAATGGGGATGGTGTCCATTGGGTAAATAGTTCACTGGAATTCGTGTTGGGACTTGTGTATCAGTTAATAGTGATAATATTATTGCGTTTCTATGGCATATATCAATGAGACAAAGGCAATTTATTTGGCGCCACTGGTGCAATGTTCACCGTGTAGATTTGGTTATCATCAGTTGTTGAAAAAAGCAAATTGCAGCAGTATCTTTGATATGCTAGCGAATTTGCAAGCAATGCTAGTGCTGTTTTAGAAGAAAATGATATCAATTTATAGCGCTCTGTCATTCTGGTCTTTTAAAACACTTAGTACTCCATGTATCCTGGGAATATAAACCATATAAAACAGGAACTGTAAAATAAAATTGGTGACTGTGGGGTTCGAACCCACGAAGCATAATTGCATTGGAACTTAAGTCCAACCCCGTTGACCACTTGGGTAAATCACCTCACGATAGCACATTCATTTTCTCCTAATATAAAATTACTTTAAAGTAGTTTATAATTCACTTTTATCATATGGGTCATAATTTATGAAGGGTGACTTTTGGTGGCCGCTGATCATAGGGTGATAATCACCACTGATTAGC